ATTGATGATGGAAAGATCATCAAGAAGTTCAAGAAGTAATTTTAAGATCAGCCAAAACCTTTAAAATGCCTTACAAATAATTGTCTACATTATAGATAAAAAAAATGCGGATGGAGTAATAATTTTAAGGCCAACTTTGTTGGACGTTGAAAAAATGTTTATACAAAAGAGATCCTTGGTAGATTGATGATGAAAAGATCAATATCTACTAGCAAGACTTGATTTTAAAATTATCCAAAGCCATTAAAAAGGTCTACAATGAATTGTCTACTTTTTTGGATAGAATCAAATTTTTTCTGAATCAAATTTTATATACCCAAGAGATTCTTGACAAATTTATGATAGACAGATGAACAAAATATTAGCAAGACATGATTTTGGACCAGCAAATACTATAAACTCTAAGAAAGGTCTATTTTTTTTTTGCAAAAAATGCTGATGGAGTAATAATTTTGAAACCAACATTGTTGGTTGTTTTATATAAAAACATTGCACATCCAAAAGGGATGTCGATACTGAAAAGTTATAAAATTGATCAAGATATTGGTACGACGTAAATTTTGGATCAACCAAGACATAATTTCTAGATCACCAAGAGATCTTTCCAGGATTCATTATGAAAAAGTCAATTTACGAGCCAAGTTGTGAAGATTTTGTCTTTTGGAATACCAATGATCTGATCAGTATTCTGACCCTTAGGATTTATTTTGGAATAATTGGTATGAGATATTTAAATCAACCAGGACATAATTTTCAGATTATCCATCAAGAGATCATTCTAGGATTGATCATGAAAAAGTCAGATTATAAACCAAATATTGGAAAGTTTTTAATATCTTTTTGGATTCTAATGATCTAACAAGTACTTTGATCTTTAAGAATTATTTTTGGATAAATAGTAAAACATGATTTTTGAATCAGCCAAGACCTAATTTTTAGATCACCAAGATTGATCTTAGATTGATTATAAAAAAGTAAATTTTAAAGCCAAGTTTTGAAATTTGTCTTTTTGGAATCCCAATGATCTGATCAGTATTCTGACCCTTAGGATTTATTTTGGAATAATTGGTATGAGATATTTAAAATCAACCAGGACATAATTTTTAGATTATCCATCAAGAGATCATTCTAGGATTGATCATGAAAAAGTCAGTTTATAAACAAATATTGGAAAGATCTTATAATCTTTTTGGATCCTAATGATATAACAAAAGTTTCGATCCTTAGGAAATTTTTGGAATAAGAAGTAAGACATAATTTTTGAATCAGCCAGGATCATATTTAGATCAACCAAGAGATCATTCCCAGGATTCATTGTGAAAAAGTCAATTAGTAAACCAAATATTGTGAAATTCTTATAATCTTTTTGAATCCTAATGATATACCAAGTTTTTTGATTCTTAGAAAATATTTTTGAATAAATGTTAAAACATGACTTTTGGATCAACCAGGTCATAACTTTCGATCAACAATCAAGAGATCCCTCCAGATTGATCATGAAAAGTCAATTAATGAACCAAATATTGGTAAACCCTTATCACTTTTTGGTTCCTTATAAACTCACAAAAATTTTGATCCTTGGAAATATTTTGGACTAAATTAACCAACTCAGATGGATAATTATTCACGACAATAGAAGGATAGTCGTACCAAGAGTCGACCAAGAAAATTAGACATTTTCTGAAGAATTGATTATTTTTAAAGTGCTGATGAAAGATAATTAAATACGATTAAGGAACTGTACAAGGGAATAATTGCAATTAATTCGGGGACAACAAAATTCTAGAGATCATCAAAAATTGACATCCTGATAATTAAATTTTTATCTGAAATCAGGCAAGAAGAAGGATCAAGAGTTTTATATCATAAACAGAAAATTTTAGAGCTCATCAAAAATTGATATCTAATGATCAAAAATATTTTAGAATCAAACAAGAAAAATTAAGGAAATCCAGAAAAGTTTTGTTATCAGTCACCAAATGTTAACAAATTTTAGAAATAATCTGAAACTGGTGAGCAAAATTAGAACCCAACTTGTTGATAATAAATTCCAAATATAAATCAATACAAATAAAATAGTGAAACTAAAAAACCAATATTTGTTTTTTTTAAATTTAACTCAAATTTTCTTAAATATATTTTTATTAATATTTATTTATACATACACAATAATTATTCCTAATTCCAATTAATTATTTTTTATTTTTTTATTTTAAGTAATATAATGGCATTGATATGGCTAGTATTTTGTGGGAAATTATTTTTATAATATTGCCTCTGTGCAAATTATTGAACATAGAACCAAAGGTAAATTCATATAGCACTTAATCATTTAGGGAGTCTTCCACGATTGTCGGCAATGCTCGTTCTCACAGTACCCACCTCACAGTCCCCTTCTATCTTTAACTTCCCATAGAGTAAGGTATAGTAATCGTAAAAAAAAACTCAAAAATAAAAATTTTTTTATAGTATCTTAACGTTTTTTTGGTCTTCTGAATTTTATGTTTTGGCATACCTTAGAAAAAATTGTTGTGTGTGTGTGTGTGGCGTGTGTGTGTTCGGATACAATTTTCGTCGACGATTTCGGAAACACGGATGAAGCGATTTAAATTTCAAAAAACATTCAATTCGTATTGATTAGGAAACGTGTGATTAGTTTTCTGGCAAAGGCTGGTCTGGCCGTTCCGAAGATATGGAGCAAAAGTGCCAAAAACGATAACTCAGTTTCTAAGAGAACGGAGCTTTCGACTTGTAATTCAAACACAACATTTTACTTGTATTGACAAGATGAAAATTGATCAATTTTTACGAAGGCAGGTCTAGCGTTTTCGGAGATCTAGTAAAAAAGTAGTAAAAAAATGCCATCTGGCGGTCAAAAATGATCCCAGTAAAAAAAATGCCATCTGGCGGTCAAAAATGATCATGAGACATATGCACATCAATTATCAGATATTTTATAAAGATTTTTAACAATAAGTATAAATTTTGTTTACATTTCTATGGGTTCCGTACCAATGCTTATCCGTTAGACGGCGACGCGGCGCTTACGCGCTTCGATATTTTATCTCTATGCAGTTAAAGCAGTACGATCGCTTTGAAAAAAACTTCTGAATTTCCAAAATATTTCAAAATACACTTTTCTTCAAAATGTGTTCTTTTTTTCAAAAAAAAGTAAATTTTTGTCAAAAATAGTTTCTCAAAAATCTAATTATTCAGAGTAAATTTTTTTCAAAAATGTTAATCTTTTAAAAAAAAAATTTGGTACGGGAAGTTGCAGCAATTTGTCTTAAGACACGATGCCATATACCACTAGTTACACTTTATTTGCGCCTGACTAGCAGTTTACGCAGTGTAAAGTCTATGAAAGAAGGTCGTCATTGTCGTATTCTTTTGTTTCATATGTCACTCGCAAATATTTTTAATTGAAAAAAAAAATCTACGATGGATTCAATGACTTCATTAATGTTTACAACTTATGGAAATCTTCCACATTGCATCGTCCCAAAACATTATAAACTGGAATTGGAACCCCTGTCCAAATGTTCGACGTTTGTTGGAAAAGTTTCTGTCGATATCGATGTAAGTAAAAAAATGGAATCTGAAACCCCAAAGTCAGCACTAATATTTATAATTTTAGGTTTTGGAAGATATAGAAGAAATCACTCTGAATTCCGCGGATTTGGTCATAAATCATGCCAAAATCCTATCGGCAAGTAGCTGTGTGTGCGAAACTGATGATGTGAGTTATGATGAGGATGAGGAAACCGCCACGATTTTATTTGATAAGACGATTGAGGGCGGAATTTATGTTCTGGAAATTGAATATATAGGTGAGAACATAAAAGTTGACACGATAAACTCGGAATTTTTACTGTGCTCCGATTTGCAGGAAATTTTGGAATTAGGTTTCAAAATTAGATTTTCAAAAATCAACATTTTATATAATTGAATCATTTTCCGCTGGACTTTAATGGTAGGTATGTTCATTAAGACCAAGTACTACTATCGTTAGACCAAGTAAATCTTCTAATTGTAATTTTAACAAATGTCAAAAAAACTACTCATTTTCTCAAACTTTGATATTTTTTTAAAAATAATATATCAGTAAGTTATATAAGACCATGATATATATCGCCAAAAAAGGTTCCATAAAAATCGGCTTAAATTTTGTTTCAACAGTTAATTACAAGAAAACGGCTCGGTAGATTTTCACTAAAACTAATCAGTACCATTTCCAACTAATATCTTTGAAAAGTTTGATTTTAAAATAGAGTCGGTAGTTTGAGCTTAAATGTGGACAAAAAGTTTAACAATTTTTTTCAAATTACAAAGAAACGGTTTGGCAGATCGTCTCACATACATGACAAACGATAGTCCTCATTGAAATACATCAAATGGCTTTTAAATTTCTGAAATCGGTTCAGGCATTTCTGAGAAAACGTCGATCAAAGGTCTAATTTTGACAAATTCCAAAAGAACGATACTAATTTTTGCAAACTTTGATGAATTTTTAAAGCTAAACGAGTTGTCGTAGGGCTGTAATATTTTAGTATGATCTAGAAGACTATGGTATCTACCGCCAAAAAAATGATAAAAATCGTGAAAATGTTTTTTTTAATTTTATTACAAGAAAACGGCCCGGCCGATCTTTATCAAAAACTAATCAGCACGATTCTCATCTAATATCTTTCGAACGGTTTTTGATTTTTCAAAATCGATTCAGAATTGCGGGCTAAAACGTGGACGAAAAATTTCACTTTTCTGCGATTTACAAAGAAACGGTTTGGCCGATCATCGCACAAAACTTAGGAACGCTAGTCCTTATCGCCGTTTTCGAGAAAACGTCGATTTACGGCAAAAAATCTGTTCACACGCACACACACACATACTTTTTCCAAATTTGGTCTCATTCGATTCCGAATGGCTTGAAACGTCGAGAAAACATAAAATTTAGCAATTCGGATTTTTTTATGAAAACATAAATTTCTCCTTCGGGAATAAAGAGGAAATAGGTTGTAACCTGTAAACTTTTTCACTGTGCTCTCATTTGCGAGATATTTTGGAATCTCTTGAACTAAGCTAGATTCTAGATTAAATACGATCAACTTAAATTTTAATCAATTTTAAAGCTTGTTTTGAGCACTGTAAAACTCCTTTGTTTTTTGTAGGAATCCTGAACTTCCTAAAAATGTCGACCATAACCGAAAACTGGCCCGTTCACACCCGTCACCTTTTCCCTTGCTGGGACGAACCTTTGCTAAAAGCAACTTTTGAGGTTAAACTGACAGTTCCAGAAATCAAAGTGCAACTTTCCAACACCCAAAGCAACCATGAAGAAAACTCCAAAACAATTTGCTTCGACAAAACTCCTCGTATGTCTACGTACCACTTTGCCTTGATAATAGGCAACTACGATTACATGGAAAAAATGGTAGAGGACAGAATATGTGTCCGGATCTATACAGCCGTCGGTGCTAAGGATCAGGCACAATTTGCTTTGGATTGCGTGGATAAGATTTTAAGGTTTTACGAAAGGTATTTTGATGTCAAATATCCTTTACCGAAGTTGGATTTGGTGGCTGCTGATGAAGATTTGGGGACTGAGGCCATTAGCAATTTGGGTTTGGTCATTTTGAAGGACTGTCATGTACTTTATGATAAGGATAGTTGTCAAGGTATAAGACAGCAGAGTATTGTGGAAGTTTTGTCTAGAGAATTGGCTTATCAGTGGTTTGGGAATATTGTCACTGCAGAATGGTAAGATGATAGATATAAACTAGGTGTAAGTGGGATTTTCAGTGAATCAGTTTTTTTTTCAGGTGGAGTCATTATTGGATCTACGAAGGCATCGCTTGCTATATGGAAAGTTTGTGTTTGGAAAGTGAATTTTGGGCTCAGTATGTGATAAATCACTTTGTTTACAAATATACTATTCCTGCTATGCAGTTTGATTCAAGGTAAGGAATTATTGTTCAAATTGCTGGAACTTCCAGTACCGTAATAAAATATTTGAGGAATTTTAAATGTTTTTATAAGATTATTATGAGTACTGTAACTTTCATTATTCGTATTTTATAGACAAAATATAAATTGGATGAAGATGTTTATATATGTTTATATGAAAATTAAATGAACAAAACTTAATCGAGCAAAGTTAGAATCAAACGACCTTATCTCATATTTCTAAGAATTATTTAAACTGAATTGCACAAATAAAAAGTGAACTTCATAATTTTAGCTAGAATTAAAATTAAAGACCAAATTATTTTTGAGATTCAATATTGAACAAAAAAAATGTTGTACCTAAATGAGATTGCTCGTCAGTAGAGTCCCTTTTCTGCATAAATAATTTTCAAGAAATTTTAGTTTGCTCATCAGTAGAGTACCTTTTTTTCTAAATATTTTCAAATAAATTTTTAGGTTGCTCGTCAGTAGAGTTTCTTGTATAAATAATTTAATTGAGTTACTTCTTATTTTTTAAAAATATTCTAGTTTGCTCGCCAGTAGAGTCCCCTTAAAGCTATTACTTTTTTGTCAGTAGAGTTTCGTGTTTTTTCTTGTAAAAATATTTTCTAAGTTTGCTCGTCAGTAGAGTCCCTTTTCTGTATAAATGTTTCCCAAAAAAATCAAGTTTGCTCGTCAGTAGAGTCCCTTTTCTGTATAAATGTTTCTCAAAAAATCAAGTTTGCACGTCGTAGAGTTCCTCGTATTAATATTCTCTAAAAAAAAAATCTAGTTTTCTCGTCAGTAGAGTACCTTTCCCGGATAAATATTTTAAAAAAAAGTTGGTTTGCTCGTCTGTAGTCTCTTTCCAGTACAAATATTTTTCAAAAAAATCTAGCTTGCTCGTCAATAGAGTCCCTTGTCTGTATAAATATTGTCTGAAAGAATTCAGAATGCTTTCATTTAAAAAAGCAAAAGTTAGGAAAGTTCTAGGTTGCTCGTCAGTAGAGTTCCTTTACTGAAAAAAAAATCTAAAAAAATTAGGTTGCTCGTCAGTAGAGTCCTTTTTGTTATAAAAATGTTTCCTGCTTGTCAGTAGAGTCCTTTTTCTTGTCAAAATATTTAGTAGTCCCTTTTTCAGTAATTTTCCAAGAAATTCTAGTTTGTTCGTAAAGTCCTTTTTCTTGTAAAAATATCTCCTAAGTTTGCTCATCAGTAGAGTCCCTTTTCTGTTTAAATATTTCTTAAAAATCCCATTTTGCTTGTCAGTAGAGTCCCCAATATTACAAAATCAGAGTGTGACAAAAAAAAAAAAATTTAAAATGATTTTTCATAATTTTTTTTATAAAAGTTCAAACCTGTTGAAAAATTAGTTTTTAACACGTAACATGTTGTGTCAGTCATATATGTCTGACGTTAACAATTTCTACATGAACCATGTCAGACAAATTTGTTCTGCACTATACTATGTTTAATAATGAGATTTCATCAAACGTACTATGTAAGACATCTGAGGAAATGCAAAATTTGTATGGAATTTAGTATAGTTCACCAAATTTTAGACAAAAGTACCTAGAAGAAAAACACAAATAAATCTCACTAATTATTAAGCATGCATCATGCAACTTGCCTTAAGGCAAAATATCTCTCCCAACTAATTTTTCACCCATTTTTCATATTTTTCAGAAGCGATTCATCCCCCATAGAACGCAAGGATATTGATCCCTTAGAATTGAACAGTGTCTGCAGACCCTATGAGAGGAGCAAGGCCGCCTGTTTGATTAAAATGATTGCAAACTGGGTAGGACAGGAAAACTTTCAGAAAGCCCTTCAATTGTGTTTGCAGAAATTCCGATATGGCAATATGAGCAGGGAGGAATTGTGGCAGATCATCCTTAGGATCAGTGGAGAAAACTTGGGTATAAAAACTTAGGTTTAAAAAACTTATTCTATCTTCTATATATATGAAAATAAGTCGGGTTTTCCTTCCTGACGAAATAACTCCAGAACGCACGAACCGATTTCGACAATTTTGCATTCGTTGGAAAGGTCTCGGGCTCCGCAAAGTTTATAGCTAAGAAAATTAGTTGTGCATGCCAACGTGCCTTAATGCAAGCTGCTGGAACTTCACGCACCGTAATTAAAAATTCGAGTAATAGCATTAGTGAGAACTATCAGAATTATGCTTGGTTAAGTCAACGAACAATTCTTGCCGCAAAGAATAATGATGTACACGCACTGAATTTCACCATTCAATCAAAAATTTCTGGCGATTTGGTGACATACCAATGATTCCGACTGGTCTTCCGTTTGACTTCAAACGATTGCAATTTCCAGTTCGCCTTGCGTTCGCAATGACAATTAACAAGTCGCAAGGCCAATCGCTCAGTGTTTGCGGGATAAATTTCAAATAGATTATTTAGAAAATCATTGTTTCTCAAATGGGCAGTTATACGTTGCCTGTTCACGAGTTGGAAAACCATCCGCTTTGTTTGTGTTAACGTCAGACCAAAAAACAAAAAATGTGGTTTACCAAAGAGCACTTCAATGAAACGGATAATTTGCGGATTCACTTTCATTTACTTAGAGAAGTTTAACTAAAAAATACTTCATTTTTGTAATCGAAATAAATTCATTACTGTTGTATAATAAAATCACATTTTTCCTTTTCAAATATAAAACAAACAAACAAATTCTTCACATTTCTCACGGAACCATCTGGTGGAGAAACGGAGTTCGTCGGGTGTGCTAGTATATATATATATATATATATATATATATATATATATATGTGTTTTTTTATTACAGAGCCTATAATGAAAACATGGATAGAAGAACCGGGCTTTCCACTTGTGATAGTTAAGGAAGAAAGAAAGTGCTTCAATAGCGAATTGACAATAACTCAAGAAAAATTTAGTGGTGACACCTGTCAGCATGAAAAGTCACCAATGTGGATTATACCGATTGCTATTTTGGTATCGACGTGTGTTTGTAAGGTAAAAATAAACAATATTAATATAACAATATTAATAATTCACTTAATATTACATTATATTATACATTTACAAATATACATTTTTGAAAAATAAAAAATATTACGACGACTATATTTGTCAATCACTGAGATTGAGAAATATCGTTACAATATAAATTTAAATAGCATATAGTCGCTGTTTTATACGCGTTACAAATATACTCGTCACATCATGCACAAACTAGCTGTTGTTTTAAAAGTATGACAAATACATGGTCTGTTCAAAAAGTACCCGGAATTACTAATAATTAAATTTCGCGGGTCTGGAGTGTCTGATTGTCAAAATTTTTTTTTTATTGTGTTGGTATACATGCCCCTAAAGTATGATGAAATTTTCAGCTATATTCACTGTTTACTTTGTCTGTGGTAGTCGCTAAGGTTCGACGTGTTTTTCTGAGCTCGGCGATTTTTACAATGGAAGAATTGAAAAGTCAAAGAATTTGTATTAAATTTTGCGTAAAAAATGAAATAAAGTGTTGCAAAGTGCAAAAATTCACCAGATATGGCTCCGTGTGACTTTTTCCTATTCCCAAAGTTGAAGAGACCCATGAAAGGACGGCGGTTTTCCTCGATTGAAGAAAATCGCTGAGAGTGCTCAAGGACATATCAAAGAGTGAATATCAAGGGTGCTTCGAAAATTGGAAAAAACGCTGGCATAAGTGTATTATATCTGGGGGGGACTACTTTGAAGGGGACCACATTAATGTAGACGAATAAATAAATATTTTTTTGAAAAAACGAAAATTACGAAAACTTTTTGAACAGACCTCGTATACTCGTCAATACACAAAATGTAACTATTTTACAAGCGTGACAAATAAACTCGTCAATACACAAAATTGTTTTATAAAAATAACCAATATACTTGTCAATGCACAAAATAACTGTTTTACAAACATGACAAATATACTCGTCAATACACAAACTAGCTGTTTTAAAAGTTTCACAAATATACACGTCAATACACAAAATAAATGTTTTACAAGCATGTCAAATATACTCATCAATGCACAAGATATTTATTTTAAAATTATGACAAATATACTCGTCACTACACAAAATACTGTTTTAAAATCATGACAAATATACTCGTCAATAAACAATATAACTTTTACGAGTATGCCGAATATACTCGTCAAAACATAAAATAACTGTTTTACAAACAGTAACTACACAAAATAATTTTTACAAGTAAGTCGAATATACTCGTCTATAAAACAAATAACTGTTTTAAAAGTATGACAAATATACACGTCACATACACAAAATTCTATTACTCCTATTTAATAAATATGCACGTCAATACAAAAAATTATGCAACTTCTCCATTACAAATATACACGTCAATACAAAAAATTATGCAGATTTTCTATGACAAATATACACGTCAATATACAAAGTTATGCCGCTTTTTCATAACGAATATACACGTCAATACACAAAATATTGCAGATTCTTCATAACGAATATAAACGTCCATACAAAAAGTTATGCCGTTTCTTCGTGACAAATATGCACGTCAACACACAAAATAATTCAACTTTATGGCGAATATACACGTCAACACACAATCAACCCGCTTTTTCATGACGAATATACATCAATATGGAAATTTATCACTTATTCATGACGAGGTTATTCGTCAGTAACAGTTAACTGGTTAAATAAATAAAAAAAATAGAAAATATAAACACAAAATAATGCAGGTTCTTCATGACGAATATACACGTCGATGCACAAAGTTATGCCGTTTCTTCGTGACAAATATACACGTCAATACACAATCATTCCGCTTTTTCATGACAAATATATAATATAGAAATTTATCACTTATTCATGACGAGTATATTTGTCAATCACAGTTAACTTGTTAAATAAATACCAAAAAATTAGAAAATGTAAAAAATACACAAAGTAATTAATGCAGATTCTCCATGACGTATATACACTTCAATACACAAAATAATGCAGATTCTTCATAATGAATATAAACGTCCATACACAAAGTTATGCCGTTTCTTCGTGACAAATATACACGTCAATACATAAATATTTCGCTTCTGCGAGACAAATATACACGTCAAGATAGAGATTTAACTCTTATCCATGACGAGTATATTCGTCAATCACAATTAACTGGTTAAATAAATACCAAAAAAATAAAAAATGTAAAAAAATACAAAATAATGCAGATTCTCCATGACAAAGATACACGTCAATACACAAAGTTATGCCGCTTCTTTATGACAAATATACTCGTCAATACACAATTATTCTGCTTCTCCGAGACAAATATAGATATTTATCACTCATTCATGACGAGTATTTTCGTCAACCATAGTTAATTGGTTAAACAAATACCAAGTGTAATAGAAAGTTTAAAAAATGTAGAAAAATGGTGAAAAAGTAAAATGTTAGCAATATTAATTTTGATTATTTTACATGTTTAACTTGTTAATCGCCATGTCAGTCATATGTGTCTGACGTCAAAAAGTTTCATATGAGCTATGTTAGACATATAGATTTGATATAGGCGACTAGATAGAAGAAAAAAATTAATATAGAGCCATGTCAGACATATATGTGTGTGACATAAAAAATAGTGTTTAGGCAAAAAAAAATTTTTAATGCATTAATGAGGCAATTCTGCATCATAACATAGCGGTGTCATGGTAACGTGAAAATTGTGAAAATGTTTATCTATTGATCAGGCGAATTTCACATATAACCAAGCAAGGAAGAATCTGATGATCGAACATTCTTCCTTGTTTTGGTTATATATAAAATACGCCTGACGGCACAGCAAATAGTTACACATTTTCACAGTATTTACTATCATGACAATGTTATATTTTGAGTCAAAAATGCCTCATAAGTTTCTTTAACCAAAATACCTAATAAAGTTACCATGATCCATATGAAAATTTATGTTATAATCCTGGCAATTAATGTGTTAAAGTCATTCTTATTTCTGTTTCTATTTCCAGCCAGTAGACAAAGTGCTCCTGGACGAATTCAGCAAAAAAATAACATTAACAGATCTAAAATGCGACGACTACATTGTAATAAATCCACAATGCATCGGATACTACAAAGTGCAGTATCAGGAAGAGATGCTGGTGGCTTTTAGGCAAACTCTGAGATATCTCAGATTTCCCCTGATCGAAAGATTGGGAGTCATCAGTGATGCCTACAGTTTGACAGTCTCTGGGAAAAAGTCGATGGAACAAGTTAGTAGAAACTAGTGGTGTATGGCATCGTGCCTTAAGGCAAATTGCTGGAACTTTTCGTACCGTAATGAAATATTCGAGAAATTTTAAACGTTTTCAAATATATTATTACAAATACTGTAACTTTCATTATTTTTGCTATCTTGTTATATCTGAGCAAATCAAATGTAAATCATAAATAATCAATCCATCTCCAGAACATTAACAATCTTCATTTCATTTCAAATTCAATTTAAAAAAAAAATAGTTGCCCAATTTACACAAAATTGAAAAAGTGCTCCCGTATAGTCACAGTCTAAATGCAAACAATTCTGTGCGACATTTTCACTTATACTGTGCTTAGCTTGGCGGCATTTTCACATTTTTCAATAGTTTGGCACAAAATTGGAAAAGTGCTCCGATACGTAAACAGTCTAAACGCACTTGGGTAAACATTTGTACCAGAGTGGCGCTTAGACTGTGAAATTTTTAACTTCCCGTAGGGTGAGTTATAGTAATCGCAAAATGATGAAATTATATATCTTTACGTTTCAGAGGTTTCTGAACATTTTGGCATACCTTAGAAAAAATTGATGTATGTGTGTGTGTGCGTGTGGGTGTGTGTGTGCGGATACAAATTTTCGTCGACGATTTCGGAAACACGGACGAAGTGATTTGAATAATTCAAAAAACATTCGATTCGTATTGATAAGGAGACAAGCTGACTAGTTTTTGCCGAAGGCAGGTCTAACCGTTCCAAAGATACGGGGCAAAAAGTGCCAAAAACAGTAACTTAGTTTTTAAGAGAACGTATCGTCCGATTTGAATAATTCAAAAAACATTTTATTTGTATTAACTGAGTGAAGAACTGTTCAAATTTTTGCGTGTCAAGACATATGCACATCAAATTATCTAATATTTTATAGAGATTTTAATAATAAGTATAAATTTTGTTTACATTCTTATGGGTTCCGTACCAATGTTTACGCGTTAGACTGCGACACGGCGCTTAAGCGTTTTGATATTTCATCTTTATGCAGTTAAAGCAGTACGATTGCTTTAAAAAAAAGTTTAGAATTTTCAAAACATTTCAAAATAAATGATTTAAGATAGAATAATTTAATATGGTTCGAAATTCTATCAAAAGTTTCAAATCATTGATCAACTTTTATTGATTATTATTGATTATTTTTAATTGATCGAATTTTGAATTGCGGTACGGGAAGTTCCAGCAATTTGCCTTAAGGCACGATGCCTTAATTGCCTTAAGACAGAATTCTACTTACAGCTAGTTTGAGTTTTTAATCCAAAATTACAAAAATATTTTATGGAGAACAAAAAAAAGATGTAATAATTTTTTATCCTCAAAAGCAATTGTTTTGTCAATACAAGCAAAAAAAATCAAATCCTTGTATTTTAGTTCCTAGGACTTCTAAGGTACTACACTCACGAAACTAATTATTTATCCCTCAAACACATCGACAATTGCATCATCGATGACATCTACAGATGCATCAGTGGTTCAGAATGCACCAAAGATTTCGACAAATTTGTTCATGATCTATTTTCACCAGTAAGGAGGAAATTGATCAAATGGAATCCAGATCCTGAAGAAGACATTTTCAAACCTGCATTGAGATCCTTGTTTTATATCAGGTTTATGAAGTTGGGAGATGGGGTTGCAAGACAAGAAGCACTATCTAGGTAATAAATTGGTAAAAAACTATCTAGGTAATAAGTTGTGAGGGTTGTTTTGCCTTAAGGCGAATTGCATAAACATCCCCAATAAAAAATGACTCACTCTAAAAATTGCTTAAGTATACTAAATTCCATACATATTTTGTATTTTGTCAGATATCTTACATAGTACATTTGATGAAATCTCGGTATAGAAATTAGTATAGTATACTTGTTTCTATACAAAATTTGAATTTACTCAGCGTGGAAATCTTTGTTTGGAAACTAGTATTGTAGCATTTTTTACATGAATAAATATTCTATGTGTGGAATGACTTTCGGAGGATTTGTGGGTTCAAAGAGCTCTACTGGACGCACCGTTGGTACTACAATTTTGTAATTTACATATAATATTCTTCAGAGTCTCTACTATGATAACAAATACTAACTTTGATAGTTTTTCTAACAAAATTTTGATTTAAAAAATATTTTAGCAATATAAGCCATATGTAAAGTGTGTTTATATGGGTGAAATTAGCCTCGGAGGGTAAATATTTTTTGAGGGCTCTACAGGACGTATCGTTTGTACTACAACCTTGTAATTTAGATATGTCATTCTTCAAAATGTCTTTTGTGATGATCAATATTAAATTTAATAGGTTTTCTAACAATATTTTGATTTAAAGCAGATTTTAGTTATATATGCCATATGTAAGGTGTTCTTATAGGTGAAATGACTTTCGGAGGATAAGTATTTTCAAGGAGCTCAACAGGGTGTACAGTTTGTACCACAAGCTTGTAATTTATATATGTTATTTTTGGAAGTATCTTTTTTGGCGTCAAGTAATAAAATCGATCGATTTTCTAACGAAATTTTGATTCAAAAAATATTTTATCAATAGATGTTATTAACGTGTAATACTACTTTCAGAAAGCTCTACTGGACGTACCGTTTGTACTACAATCTTGTAATTTAAATACGTCATTCTTCAAAATGTCTCTTATGATGACAAATACTAAAATTGATAGATTTTCTAACAATATTTTGATTTAAAAAATATTTTATTATCAAATGTCATAAGCATGTGAGATGACTCTCAGGAGATAAGTGTTTTCGAAGAGCTCTACAGGACGTACCGTTTGTACTACAGCCTTACAATTCAGATATGACATTCTTCAAAGGGTCTTTTATGATAACAAATACTAAAATCAATAGGGTTGCAAACAAAATTTTGATTTAAAAAATATTTCATCAACAGATGTCATATGACAGTGAAATGACTCTCAAAAGATCAATATTTTCAAAGAGCTCCGCAGGACGCACCGTTTGTACTACAAACTCGTAAATGGCATATTTTATTCTTCAAAGTTTTTACTATGACGACAAATACTAAAATTGATAGGTTTTCTAACAAAAAATTGATTTGAAAAATGTTTTACTAATAGATATTATTAACGTGTAAAATGACTCTCGGAACATTAGTATTTTCAAAGAGCTCTGCAGGACGCACTGTTTGTACTACAATCTTGTAAATCGCATATGTCATTCTTCAAAGTCTTTACTATAATAAAAAATACTAAAATTGAGAGGTTTTCTAACAATATTTCTAATTAAAAAATATTTTATCTATATATGTTACAAGCGTTTATAATAACTCTCAGAACAATAATATTTTCAGAGAGCTCTACAGGACGCACCGTTTGTACTACAGACTTGCGATTCAGATATTTTATTTTTCAAAATATCTTTTATGACGTCAAATACTAAAATTGATATGTTTTCTAACAAAATTTTGATTTAAAAAATATTTTAACAATAAATATCATATGCATGTAAACTGACTTTCGGAATATTAGTATATTTAAAGAGCTCTACAGGACGTACTGTTTATACTACAGCCTTGTAATTCACATATGTTATTCTTCAAAGTATCTTTTATAATAACAAATACTAAAATTGATAGGTTTTTTAACAAAAATTTGAATTAAAAAAAGTTTTATCAATATATGTTATAAACGTGTAAAATGACTCTCATAATATTAGTATTTTTAGAGAGCCCTACAGGACGTACCGTTTGTTCTACAAACTTGCAACTCAAATATGTTATTCCTTAAAGTATATTTCATGACGACAAATACTAAAATCGATAAGTGTTCTAACAAAATTTTGATTTAAAAAGTATTTTACTAATATATGTTCAAGTGTGTAAAATGGCTCCCAAAAGTTTAGAATTTTTTACAGGACGCACCGTTTGCACTACAACCTTGCAATTCACACACATAATCCTTCAAAATATCTATTATAAAACCAAATAACAAAACCAATAAAAATTTTATTCACAGGCAAGAAAATCTACAAATCAATTCAAAACCCCTCCATCCAGACATATCAGAAATTTGCTACACAGCCCTTGCCCTAGACACAAATGTCAACTCGATGGAAAAGTTGATAAGAATTTACAAAAAGACCGAAAATAACGACGAAAAATCTCGAATTTTATCATCGATGGGTAAAGTAACCGATTCTAAAATTATGGACATGGTTTTGGAATTTATGACGAGCGAAGATGTTCAACCAAAAGATTTTTTAATCATTTTGAAAAATTTGACTGACACTGATGCTGGAAGAAATGCTTCTTGGTGCTATTTTGTAAAAAATAGACAAATGTTTTTGGACAAATGCCAGGAAGACGTGGTAAGGTAAAAAATCGATCTAAGTTGAGATTTGTTATTTTTTTACTATTTTTAGGTTCTTGGTGAAGTTGTCTTTGCCCTAATAACAAAATTCAATTGCGATTTGAAAGCGGAAAAAATTGGAAAGTATTTTGAGAGAAATCCTTTACCAGAAATCCAAATATATATTTGTGAAGGTATTAGTAATATTAAAAAATGCTGCTCGTTCCCAAAGGTTTATTGAAGGAATTAATGCTTATTTTCAATATCAGCAAAAGAAATAGTTATGATATGAAATATGTTAAAAACTTTGTCAGATAGTTTTCAAAGTACTATTTATTTAAACAAATAATAAATATATTTGAAAAATGGTACTGTGTTTTATCTTGGTGAAAAACCAATCTAGTATTAATAGAACTCTGATAACAGGGACAATTTTTATATTTGTCTAAATAACTTTTAAGTTTCTTCCCGGACATTTAAATTTGTTTACATCAGTAAAAACTAGATTCAATTTACTAACTTTTAGTAAAAACTGTTTTATACACTTGCATGTAAAAATTTTGAATAATTCGTCCTTGAAATGCGGACTTTAGTATTTTCATTTGCAATCATTGGTTGTTTAGGACATTTGTTTTATATTTTTAGGTACATCTCGGAACTTTTCCCAAGACCTCATAGTTTTCTTTACATATGTGAAAAGTAGATAAAATTTACTAAAATCCTGTGAAAACTGTTGTATAAACTTGCATATAAAAGTTTTGAATAATTCGAAGTTGAAATGCGGACTTTAGTATTTCCATTTGCAAAAGTTGGTTTAGGACATTTTTTTATATTTTTAGGAATATCTCGGAACATTTCCCAAGACCTCATAGTTTTCTATACATGTGTAAAAAGTAGATAAAATTTACTAAAATCTTGTGAAAACTGTTATATACACTTGCATGTAAAAATTTTGAATAATTCGTCCTTGAAATGCGGACTTTATTACTTCCATTTGCAATTGTTGGTTTAGGACATTTTTTTATATTTTTAGAAATATCTCGAAACTTTTCCCAAGACCTCATAGTCTTATATACATACGTAAAAAGTAGATAAAATTTACTAAAACCTTGTAAAAACTGTTACATACACTTGCATATAAAATTTTTGAATAATTCGAAGTTGAAATGCGGACTTTAGTATTTCCATTTGCAACAGTTGGTTTAGGACATTTTTTTATATTTTCAGGAATATATCATTTTTTATATTTTTAGGAATATCTCGGAACTTTTCCTAAGACCTCATAGCTTTTTATACATATATGAAAAGTAGATAAAATTTACTAAAATCTTGTGAAAACTTTTATATACACTTGCATATATTTTTTTTTAATAATTCGAAGTTGAATTGGGAACTTTAGTATTTCCATTTGCAATAGTTGGTTTAGGACATTTTTTTCTATTTTCAGGAATATATCATTTTTTATATTTTTAGGAATATCTCGGAACTTTTCCCAAGACCTCATAGTTTTCTATACATATGTGAAAAGTAGATAAAATTTACTAAAATCTTGTGAAAACTGTTATATACACTTAAGAATAATATTTCTGCATAATTTGTAGTTGAAATGCAGACTTTAAAAAAGATTTCCAAAAATTGCATTAAATGAATTTAGAACATTTTTTTACTATTTTTCAAATAACTTTTAATTTTCTTTTCAGACATTTGAAATTGTTAACATCAGTAAAAACTAGATAAAATTTACTAAAATCTTGTGAAAACTGTTATATGCACTTTCATATAAAAATTTTGCATAATTGGAAGTTGAAATGCGGACTTAACTATACTAAAAACAAAATTTGGTCAAATAAACACAAAATATATAAACTACTACTCTAGTATAAAACTGAAATATTTTTGATGAATCATAAAAAGCAAAGTTTAAATTAAAAAAAATATTTTCATCATTCTTGATATATAGGAAACATTTTTAAATTCTGCAAAAAACTATACATTTTCAGAAAAAAAATGTACTGAATTAGAAAACCAAATAATTATAAATAAAATAAAAGTTAAAACATTAAACATATTTTAAGCTTCATCTTAAAAGTCTTTAACGATTTGCACTTATAATTAGATGTGTAAATAATAAAATCCGATAATTAGAAATGTTAATAAAATTAAAAATCATTCAAATATTTAAATAAAAAATAAAGACTAAAACGTTCGCGACATGTAAATAATCAAAAATGAATATCAAACAATTTAATAAAATTTAGAATAGATCCAATATTTAAATAAAATAAATAAAACAACTCAGCAAATTATATGACATTTCTAAATGACAGTAAATTGTCATAAATTAATAAAAAACTTAAAATTTTCATTATTTGGTCCCATAATCAATTGAAACTCAGCACGATATAAAAATGTAACTTAAAAATAATAATAAAGGTATTATTTCCTAAAAAGTCACGAAAATCAGATTACTATCATAAACTAATTGCAAACAAATTGAATTCACTCTTTCAAGTAACTACTGTACATTTTTATTAATATTTAATAATTTACAGATACATCAGACTAGTTTCAGTTCATCAAAAATTCTCCCACAAATTTTGATAATGTCATAAATTTTGTTTTACAATTTTCCTAATAAAAAAGTTGTTTTTATATATTTAAAAAAATTATTTAACATCATGGCTGAAGAGCAAAAACCAGTTTTCGAGAGACTTCCAACAAATGTGGTGCCAAATCATTACATACTACACTTGAATCCAAATTTGAAGGAATTCAAATTTGTTGGAAGATGTGCAATCAATATAGAAGTAAGTCTAATGAATAGAGAATTAAATTTATATAAAAATAGTTGTAAGTATAGAGAGAGCTAAGGCCTCATTTCAACTACGACTTATTCAATAATTTTATATGCAAGTATATACAATAGTTTTTACTACATTTTTGTAAATTTTATCTACTTTTTCCTAATGCAAAAAAATATAATGTCCGAGAAAAAAATTAAAAGTTATTTGAACAAATGCAAACAAATGTTCTAAATCCATGTATTGCAAATTATAAAATTGGGCCTCATTTCAACTACGATTTATTCAAAAAATTTATATGCAAGTATATACAATAGTTTTTACTACATTTTTGTAAATTTTATCTACTTTTTTCTAATGCAAAATAATTATAATGTTCGAGAAAAAATTAAAAGTTATTTAAACAAATGTCCTAAATTCATGTATTGCAAATTATGAAAATAGTAAAGTTTTTCAATATGATCTTAAACGATATCACAATATTTCTTTGTTTCGATGGGGGATAGTCCCTACACCTCACCCGCCGCATTATGTGATCATAAATAATGTCATGCAATAAACAGAAGTGTGCAAGTGCGACATATGGAATTGTACTACCAGAAAGTTTCGGTTTGTGTTGTTATTATTGACTAATTTTAAATTTTATACATAAGTTATATATTTTATATATTTTGGTTCAAGTAAAAACTTATATCACTTCTAGTGTTCGAAAGGATCTTCTGGTCACTGATTCCTATTAATCTGATATTTATTTTAGATAAAAGAATGCACAGACATCATAAAACTGAACAGTTCAGAATTGGAAATAACTTGTGCAAAAGTTTGCACCGACAAAGAAGAAGAAGAGTACGAATGTTGCAACTTTGACTACGACAAAGAAAACGAAGTCGTTTCTTTAAAATTTTCAAAAAAATTGCCTTGCATGTGTGCTACTCTGATTTTGGAATTTAATGGAATATTGAATGATCGGATGCAGGGATTTTATAGGTAAATTATATAAAATTCGAATTGGTGCGAATAAGGGAGATAGATGGCAGCACGGTTTATTTGCGGGGTAGACTATGAATAAGTTAGAAATTTAGTTTTTTGTTAAAAAGTGTAATGAAGATTAAGTTTGGTAGTAGAAAGATATTAAAAGAGATATTGGAGTTTTAATAGAATTTACATTAAATGTTTCTTTTTTCCTAGATCTGCCTATACTGCCAGTGAAGGTTCAGAGAAATTTGCGGCAGTAACCCAATTTGAACCGACTTTTGCCAGGCAATGTTTTCCCTGTTGGGATGAACCTGCCCTAAAAGCTACTTTTGATGTTAAACTTACAGTTCCTGAAGGTACAACTCAAAATTATACAAAAAAAAATCAAGACAAATCATTCTAGAATTTTAACGTAAAAGAAACTTTGAACTTCAGAAAGCTTTTATATTTTTACTCGAATTTTGTATTACGCAACTATCAAGTATTTTACCTTTTTACAATCCTCACTATATGCACAAACTTTTGATGAAACTTGCCAGGGTACTTTAGTACATTTTTTTTACATGAGTGCTTCTCAAACTCGAACGATCTTCAAAATTTCAAATTCATAGTGTAACAAAAAGTCTTAATTCTTGAAAACTTGGGGCAATTGTGTCTTTATTTTAGACTCTGATCCTAGAAATATTATTTACTGATACCTACTTCAAATTTAAATAAACAAAATTAATAAAAATTCACCACAATAACTCAAAAGTTGACACAGTTGCACCAAAACCCTAGGTTGCACTTACAAGCTCATAATTTTAAAGAGTTTTTTTTTATTCTTTAACAAGTATATTTTAGATTAATTTTTGCATTATAGCAATGACAGCTCTGTCAAATATGCCTGTAAGAAAACAGCATACTTGCAAAGGAAATTTGCATGTGACTTTTGAAACGTCCCCAATAATGTCGACTTACCTTTTGGCAGTCGTTATTGGAGAATACGATTTCGTTGAAGGGAAAAGCTACGAAGGAGTCCAGGTTACTAAAAATATGAATTATATATATATATATATATATATATATACTAGCGCGACCAACTTTGCATGATAAGAAAAATAAAAGATCAAGCCTCTGACTCCTGGAGTAAAAATCATGTTTATCTATTTGCTGTTCGATCAAGCGTATTTTACGTATAAACAAGCAAAGAAGAATGTTATGATAACTACTTCATCAAAGTTTCTATTATCTTACCATTCTTTCTTGCTTGTTTATATGTAAAATACGCCTGATCGCACAGCAACTAGATAGACATTTTCAAAATTCATGACAAATTATAGTTCTTGGAGTAAAATAAAAGATCAAGCTTTTGGCTTTTTAATTTTGTTCTATCAAAAAAAAATTATAATGCCTAATATTTTTCATCCTAATTGTCCTTTCTTTGGTCAAATATTTCCACCTCCAGAATTTGTCCTTAATATTTTGTCAAAAAATGTAATATTTTTTAGGTGAGAGTTTTTACACCAGTCGGAAAAAAAGATTTGGGCCAATATTGTTTAGAAATTGCAACAAAAAGTTTATCATTCTTTACTTGTTACTTTGGCATCGAATATCCGCTCAAAAAACTAGATTTGGTCGGGGTCACCAATTTTTCTTCTGGAGCCATGGAGAATTGGGGACTGGTAACATTCCGGTAAAAAAATATAAAAAATAGTAATATAATAGTAAATATTAGTAATATACTTCTCTAGTTAATTCAGTTAACATAATTTATTTAACACGTTAAACGCCACGATAAAAAAATTACATGGGATGGGAAATTACTATATTAGAAAATTTAGTTAAAAATGTACCAAAGAAACTTGATACATAATTCTTTCATTTGGCATGGCTTATGTAAAATTTTTTTAACGTCAGGCACATATGACTGACACGGCATCCAACGTGTCAATTTATCATTTTTAGAGAAAAATACATTTTGCTGGATTTAAACGAATCGACTTCATACGACAAACAAATGCTGATTGTGTATGTTGGACACGAAATTGCTCATCAGTGGTTTGGAAATTTGGTCACCATGGAATGGTAATAGGATTTAAAAATATTTATATATTTTTAATTATTATTAATATTTTTTTTTTATTAAGGTGGACCCATTTGTGGCTAAACGAAGGCTATGCTCAATTCATGGAAAATCTTTGCGTCCAACAAATGATGCCTGACAGTGAAATTTGGACGCAGTTTATTAGTGGCAGTTTTCGAAGTGGTAAAACTAAATAAATATTAATTTGTGATGATAAATTTATTTTTTAAGTTTTGTGGATGTATTTTTTAACTTCCCGTAGGGTAAGTTATAGTAATCGCAAAAAAATCGAAAATGAAAATTTTTATATATCTTTACGTTTCAGAGGTTTCTGAATATTTTGGCATACCTTAGAAAAAATGGATGTATGTGTGTGTGTGTGTGTGTGTGTGTGTGTGTGTGTGTGTGTGTGCGTGTGTGTATGTATGTGCGGATACAAATTTTCGTCGACGATTTCGGGAACACGGATCAACCGATTTGAATAATTCAAAAAACATTCGATTCGTATTGATAAGGAGACGTGCTAATTAGTTTTTGGCAAAGGCAGGTCTAGCCGTTCCGAAGATACGGGGCAAAAAGTGCCGAAAACGGTAACTCAGTTTTTAAGAGAACGGAGCGTCCGATTTTAATAATTCAAAGAACATTTTACTTGTTTTAACAAGATAAAGAATTGATCAAATTTTCATAAAGGCAGGTCTAGCGGTTTCGGAGATATAACGAAAAAAGTAAAAAAAAATGCCATTTGGCGGTCAAAAATGATCATTAGACATATGCACATCAAATTTTCAGATATTTTATAGAGATTTTAACAATAAGTATAAATTTTGTTTATTTTCCTATGGGTTCCGTATCAATGTTTACCCGTTAGACAGCAACGCCGCGCTTACGCGCTTTATATTTCGTCTCTATGCAGTACGATTGCTCTGAAAAACAAGTTCAGATCTTCCAAAATATGTCAAAATAAAGAAAACATTTTTCTTAAAAAAAAATTAAAATTAAAAAAAAAAATTTTTAAAAAAAAAATTTTTTTTTTAAAAATTTTTTTTCAAAAAAAAGTAATTTTTTGTCCAATTTATAGTTTCTCAAAAATCTTATTTTTTCGAAGTAAATTTTTTTCAATCTCAATTTCAATCATTTTTAAAAAAAATAATAATTTTTGGTACGGGAAGTTCCAGCAATTTGCCTTAAGGCACGATGCCCTAATTGCCTTAAGACAGAATTCCACTTACAGCTAGTTTAATTTTTGAGATTATTGAAGCATCTAGCAATAATTTAGAAAAATTCTCAACTAATAAAAAAATTCAAGAATAAATGTGGAGTCCATCTAAATAAATCAGATTCTTTTATTTTTCTAGAATTATATTTTTTCTTTTAGAGTCATCATTTTGCTATCATAACAATACCTAACAAATATTTTAAAATGTTTATTTTATTTTTTATTATTTTTTCTAGCTTTATTGTTAGATGCCAAAGAAAATTCGCATCCCATCGAAATAGAAATAGGACATCCGAGTGAAATTGCAGAAACTTTCGATGATATTTCTTACGACAAAGGAGCAACTTTGATCAAAATGCTTCATAATTTTTTGGGCGAAGAAGACTTTCAATTAGGTATTAACTACAAGTATTTTTCAAAACAAAATTAGCAAATAACTGAATACATTTCTTCCAAAATCGAACTAATAACTATTATGGGGCAATTCTGTAGTTACAGAGCTCATATAATAGCGTTGTCATGTCTTATGCTTGTTCTTGGTAGTGAAAATTATGAAAATGCTCCGATTTGCAAAAATTTAAAATTGCATCATTTAAAATCACTAAATACAATCATTAATTTTTTTCTGGGTTATACCCAAATCTCTAGGAACTTTCGTAATTCAAAAAACTTCATTTTTTTATTTTTAGATGACTACAACTCATTTTATCATATAAGTGTGTCATCTTTCATTTATTACTATTTATTAATATCAAAAAATATATTTGGATAATCGGAGCTTATCCAATCGATTATTCGGAGCATAATCGAAGTAGCATCTTCAATTATAAAACAATTAAAAAACAAAAATGTTCCGAATTTGCAATCTATATCTATTTTCTAGGTATAAAAGCATATTTGAACAAACACAAATACAAAAATACTCAAACTGAAGATTTGTGGAAAGCTTTTGAAGATGCAAGTGGAAAACCAGTTGGTAAACATATTCAAATTTAAATAAAAATAGTATAAAAAACAATTTTAATTTAATATCAGCCAGAACTTTACCAGAAACGTCAGAAATTTTAGTTAACATCGACTGCTAAAAACTTAATATTTTTTCTCAAAAAACTGTAATTTTGGACTTTTATATTTAGAACTTGATATCAAGTTTGCCAGAGTTGTTATAAAGTCCATAATTGCAAAATAATAAATATATCTCTGAAACGTCTTAATGAAGAAAAAATCGTGATTTTCATTACATGAAATTATATTTTAAATATGTTTTTCTGTGAAAAAAGTTTTTATTACTACTTGATAACAAGCTGGCTAGGTACAGAATATGATTTTAAGTAAAAAAAATACGGTTTTTTCTTGAAAAAATCAAATTTTGGCGTTTGGGTTACTCATTTTCTATACTAACTCCGCCATGATATCAAGTAGTAATTGCAATTGCAAGACATTTTACAAGCAATTGCTTTACAATTTAGACTCCATTTTTTTTTTAAATTATAATTAAAACAGGACAAATGTGCTTTATTCTGTTTTAGTGTTTTCCGCACTCAATAGATGGTGCCACTGTGCCTAAGTTCATCATTATGTTTGAAAATCTGATTCTCCGAATATATATATTTTTTGTTACATTTATTCAAATTAATCAAGTTTATATTTTCTATACTATATATTTATTAAGTTTTATCTAGGATTAAAACTAGCGGTATATTTACGTGCTAAGGTTAGTGGCGCCACCTATGGAGAGTGGAAACAATTAAAAATGAAGTAATGGTAGTGGTTTTTTTATTATTTTATCAATTTCTTCAGGTGATGTTATGAACACGTGGACCAAACAAAAAGGCTATCCAATCCTGAAAGTTTCCATGGAGCAGGATGGTAACACCAGGATAGTTATTTTGAAGCAGGAAAAATTTACAGCAAATGGAAGTGAAGATCCTGCTAAACCTCAGTGGCTAATACCGATCAGGATTATATCCGAAAATTATAGAAGCCAAGTAAAAAACTACAGTAAAAATAAAATTGTTAAAAACGTTTTGTATCATTTTTCCCCTTAGGATCGTAACATTCCAATTATGGAAAAGGGTTGTCTTCGTATCACTTTAACCGGGGTAAGTCCCTCCGAATGGTTTCAAATTGAATCCGGGACAAATAGATTATTACAGGGTCTTTTACACCCCTGAAATGATCCAGCAACTTGAAGGGGCCATAAAAGATAAAAGCCTTCCTGAACCCGACAGGGCCGGAGTTTTGGATGATGTTTTTGCTGTATGTAAATCGGGACGGCAACCGATAAGTATGGTAAGAAATTTAAATTTACTAACAAGTTGTAAGTGGCATTTTACCTTTAGACAAGTTAGATCAATAAAAATTAAAAATCTGATATATAGGTAAAATGTTCAACTGTTTATTTTAAAAATTCACCAAAAAATAATCTCACTCGAAAAAAAATTCTCACAAAGACGCTTTGCGGAGTCAGTTTTTATTTTACTTGAAAAACCTAGTATTAACAAAAGGACTGATACTGGCTTTCTCTGTGAAAATTATCAATATGTGCTTAATAAAATAATAAAATTTATTACAGATTTTGGAACTGCTAAAAGCATACAAAACTGAAAAGCATCCTACAGTATGGTCAAATATTGAATACGCCTTGAACGAGCTAAAAAAATTGGCCGCATTTGCTGAATGCTGGGTAAGTTATAAAAGTAACAATAAATCTAAAATTTTAATTATTTTCGCAGTCCATAGAGGCGCCACTAACTGTAGCACTTAAATTTACCCCTAGTTTTAATTCCAAATAATATTAATTTAGAAAAATATATTAAAAGTTCTAAGCACGTCTATTCTAGTAAACAAATCCGTTCTTTAAGAGAGATAAATTCAAGCACAGTAGACCCTCTGTTGAGTGCGGAAAACACTAAAACAGGGTAAAGCACATTTGTTCTGCAAATTTAATTTAACTAACTATTTATAATTTTTATCCAGGATGAATTTAGGTTATTTGCTCTCGATTTGTATTCAGAAATCAAGAAAAATGTCACGTGGGATCCATCACCTTGTGATAAACATTTGGACGGTTTACTTCGTCAAATGATCATTGAGGATTTAGTTGGTTATGGTGATGAGGATACTATTAAGGAGGCCAAATTAAGGTAATAATCATCTCAATCATTACAAAAAAAGAGTGCGCGTAAGGTTCACACACGATTGAAGAAAAACTTATTTGCTACTGTACAAGATGGCATTTAAGTTAAAAACAAATACATCATATAACAATTTTGAATAATGTTTATTAGTAATATGGTAACACACATTTATTAGTGCCGACCATTATACACATTTATATAACGATAAATTATAAATTATATATTTATGATAGCATTAAAAATATGTATAATATTTAAAAATACTTATATAATTAATGTCATACTCCAAATACGATATGATCGGTTTGTCATTGCAATTAGCATTTGGGACTTGAATCTTTATTGGAGAAATAATGTAATTGCTGATTAATAAATTCTGTAATATTCGTTCACACAGTGGATTATGTTAAACAACGCTTGAATAAATATTGTTTTCGCAACTTCACTCATCATGTAATAATTGTGTTTGAAGAACTTCATGTAATTAAAATTAACATACATTCATTGACTGCTTGTATTTTTTTACCTTTTCGCTGGCGATATGATCTCATTCTTTGAACAGCTGTAATATCTGTTTTGCCTAAAAAATATTTTCCATTTTAGTAACTTCAAAGACTTATAGAAACTACATGTCCATTTTTTATTTTATCTTTAGTTTTGCTCGTCAGTATAGTCCATTTTTCTTAATTTTTAATTTAATTATCAGTAGAGTTTATTTTTCTTTTATTTTGAGTTTTGCTCGTCAGTAGAGTCCCTTTTTAATTTTATTTTTAGTATGCTCGTCAGTAGAGTCTCTTTTTAATTTTATTTTTAGTTTGCTCGTCAGTGGAGTCCCATTTTCTTCCATTTTTAATTTAAATATCAGTAGAGTTTATTTTTCTTTTATTTTTAGTTTTGCTCGTCAGTAGAGTCCCTTTTTAATTTTATTTTTAGTATGCTCGTCAGTAAAGTCCCTTTCAGTATGCTCGTCAGTAGAGTCCCTTTTACCTTTTATTTTAATTTAAATACTTATTATCATCAGTAGTGTCTCTGTGAATTTTATTTTTATTTTGCTCGTCAATAGAGTCCTCCTGCTTTTTCATTTTTAGTTTGGTCGTCAGTAGAGTCCCTTTTTATTTACAAATAATATAGAAATAATTTCTAATCAATAAACTTACGTTTAGTATACGGTACAAATGTTTAATTTGTTTTATTATTTTCAAGGAACAGGGTAAAATATTCTTCTGATTCAGAAGGCATTTTTCATGAAATCAAGATTTGTACTACGATGTAACTTTAAAATGTTCATTTATCTATGCCGATTTCCTTGTTGATATCGGTACGCATACAACGTTGATGCCGGTACGCATACAACGACAGACTTCTATTCAAATACGCGACGACTAATCACAATCGACCCGTATAGAAATGATATCATCGAGAGCGAATGACGAATCATTGGCACTACCCTAGTCGCGCCTAAGAAAGTTTCACTTAGAAAATGGGAAACCTTTTAACTAGAAATAGTTCGTTTTTTAATGTAATGATAGTGGTTTTTAGTAGCCAAATTTTGTGAAAAGCATTTGGTTCAACTTTGTTAAAAACAATCCTATCTATCTTTTATCTAGATATGATGATGACGAGTCAGAAAAACGCAAGCTGCACGCCGACCTAAAACCTTCTGCAATAAGGGCCATCCTTAGTACAACAGATCCTCAAATTTTGGACAAAATGCTGGAGAAGTACAAAACTGAAACTAATGCTGCTTTTAAGATTATTATACTGGAAAGACTGAGCCAGGTGCAGACTCAGGAATTGTTGCAGAAAATTCTGGACTTTGGTTGGGGCAAAGATGTTCCTTCGCAAGATTTTGTTTTCATCATCTGTGGGGTTGCTATGAACCCAGTAAGTAGGGGTAAATTATTTTAGCAAAATTGCTAAAACAAATCCTACTAGTGGTGTATGGCATCGTGCCTTAAGGCAAATTGCCGGAACTTCCCGTACCGTAATGAAATATTCGAGAAATTTTAAACGTTTTCAAATATATTATTACAACTACTGTAACTTTCATTATTTTTGCTATCTTGTTATATCTGAGCAAATCAAATGTAAATCATAAAAAAATCAATTTATCTCTAGAACATTAACAATCGTCACTTCATTTCAAATTCAATTTAAAAAAAAAATAGTTGCCTAATTTGCACAAAATTGCAAAAGTGCTCCCGTATAGTCACAGTCTAAACGCATTTGCAAATAATTCTGTGCGACATTTCCACTTATACTGTGCTTAGCTTGGCGGCATTTATAAGAACTAAAATGATTGTTGTTAAATTGAGGAGGCTACATAAATCTCGTTTTGTACTTTTGGACCGGTTAGATTTTTATTTATTTGTTTATAACTTTTAAACAAATTGTCCGATTGTTTTGCATTATTCAGCAAATTTATAGCCAATTAAATTGTCTACAACTTTTGTTAATAACAAAATATTGTATCTCATATCCTTTTACCCAAAATTTGCAATGAAACAGGTTGTTGTTAAATTTTGGAGGTTGCATCAGTATATCTTGCTTCATACTTTAGGACCAGCTCGATTTTTATTTATTTACTTATAACTTCAAAACGAAATGTCCCACCATTTTGCAATATTCAGCAAATTTATAGCCAATTAAATTATCTACAATTTTTATTAACAACAAAAATTGGTATCTCTTGTCCTTTTATCAAAAATTTACATTTAAAAAGGTAGTTGCTTAAATTTGGTGGTCACATCGTACTCATATATCTTACTCTGTCACTCTACACTGTCAGGTATATGTTGCTCTTTTTCGCACTAGTATTTTATATCTCTCTCTCTCATTTTCTCACTACTGTTGTCTCTTTTACGTTTAATCAAAACATACTCTATATCACATCGCGACTTAAGAAGTTTTACTTCAAAAATAAAATTCTATTTTACTAATTTATACATCGCCAACCTAAGAAGTTGAATTCAAATGTAAATCATAAATCAATCAATTTATCTTAATCTTAATTAACAATCGTCATTGCATTTCGAATTCAATTTCAAAAAATAGTTTAGTTGCCTAATTTACACAAAATTGAAAAAGTGCTCCCGTATAGTCACAGTCTAAATTATTGCAAATTATTCTGTGCGACATTTTCACTTATACTGTGCTTAGATTGGCGGCATTTTCACATTTTTCAATAGTTTTCACAAAATTGGAAAAGTGCTCCAGTTCATAAACAGTCTAAACGCACTTGGGTGATTATTTGTACCAGAGTGGCGCTTAGACTGTACTTAGCCTGGGTAATTTTTAACTTCCCGTAGGGTATAGTAATGGGCCAAAAACTGAAAATGAAAATTTTTGCATTTCTCGACGTTTTGAAGGTTTCTGAACATTTTTGCATACCTCAGAAAAAAAGGATGTGTGTGTGTGTGTGTGTTTTGTATGTCCGCATTTTTTCGTCCACATTTTTAGGCGCACGGATCAACCGATGTGAATGGTTTAGTAAACATTCAATTTGTATTGATTGGGAGAAGAGGTGATTAGTTTTTGGCAAAGGCAGGTCCCGCCGTTTCAAAGATACAGAGCTAAATGTGCAAAAAAAGGCAGTTTTTGAGTGAACTAAGCGTCCGATTTGAATGATCTAAAAAACTTTCTGTTTGTATTGACAAAACAATTACTTTTGAGGATGAAAAATTATTACATCTTTTTTTATTTTCCATAAAATATTTTTGTAATTTTGGTTTAGAAATTCAAAAAATTACCCAGGCTAAGTACAGTCTAAGCGCCACTCTGGTACAAATGTTATCGCAAGTGCGTTTAGACTGTTTATGTAGAAGCACTTTTCCAATTTTGTGAAAACTATTGAAAAATGTGAAAATGCCGCCAAGCTAAGCACGGTATAAGTGAAAATGTCGCACAGAATTATTTGCAAATCCGTTGAGACTGTGACAATGCGGGAGCACTTTTTCAATTTTGTGTAAATTAGGCAACTAGTTTTTTGAAATTGAACTCGAAATGAAATGACGATTGTTAATGTTCTTGGGATAAATTGATTCATGATTTATGATTTACATTTGATTTGCTCAGATATAACAAGATAGCAAAAATAATGAAAGTTATAGTAATTGTAATAATATATTTTAAAACGTTTAAAATTTCTCGAATATTTCATTACGGTACGGGAAGTACCAGCAATTTGCCTTAAGGCACGATGCCATACACCACTAGCTATCCTAATAATTTTGGGACTTTCTATTTTTTTCCAGCTTGGTAGAGATCTGGCCTGGAAGTTTTACAAAGACAACGCCGAAGAATTCAAAAAAACGCTTTTCAGGACTAAGACTAGGTGGTCGCATTTTAGAATCAATCATACAAAATTTTGCAACCGACGAAATGGCAGATGAAATCGAGAAATTTTTCAAAGACAATCCTCTGCCTGGAACTGAACATGCAGTCGCCCAATCCCTTGAAGAGGTAAAAATTAACATAAATTAACCAAAGCAACTTCAATTTCTATTTTAAAACTTCTTTAGGCGCGACTAGGGTGTAAATCCGTACAAATGCAACGGAAGTGCGTTACGGCAGATAAGATAAGATAATAGTCGAGTGCCAATGATTCGTCATTCGCTCTCGATGATATCATTTCTATACGGGTCGATTGTGATTAGTCGTCGCGTATTTGAATAGAAGTCTGTCGTTGTATGCGTACCGGCATCAACGTTGTATGCGTACCGATATCAACAAATAAATCGGCATAGATAAATAAACATTTTAAAGTTACATCCTAGTACAAATCTTAATTTAATGAAAAATGCCTGAATCACAAGAATATTTTACCCTGTTCCTTGAAAATAATAAAACAAATTAAACTTGTGACGTGTACTAAACGTAAGTTTATTGATTAGAAATTATTTCTATATTATTCGTGGTTTTTATAAATCTTTGAAGTTATTGAAATGGAAAACATTTTTTTGAGCTAAACAGATATTACAGCTGTTCAAAGAATGAGATTATAACGCCAGCGAAAAAGTAAAAAAATACAAGCAGTCAATGAATGTATGTTAATTTTAATTACATGAAGTTCTTCAAATACTATTATTGCATGATGAGTGAAATTGCGAAAACCATATTTATTTAGGCGTTGTTTAACATAATCCACTGTGTGAACGAATATTTTAGAATTTGTTAATCAGCAATTACTTCATATCTCTAATGAAGGTTCAAGTCCTAAATGCTAATTACAATGACAAACCGATCATGTCATATTTGAAGTATGACTTTAATTACATTATTGTTTTTAAACATTATACATATTTTTAATGCTATTATAAATATATAATTTATAATTTATCATTATATAAATGTGTATAATGATTGGCACTAATAAATGTGTGCATCACGAGTGTTACCATATTACTAATAAACATTATTCAAAATTGTTATATGACGTATTTATTTCTACTTAAATGCCATCTTGTACAGTAGCAAATAAGTTTTACTTCAATCGCGTGTGAACCTTACGCGCACTCTTTTTTTAAGTAATTTTTCTTTTTTTTTCAAGGTGAGAGAAAATGCAAAATGGGTCTCAAGAGATGGATCAGAGCTCAAGAAATTTTTGGCTGAGAATTCTAAGTCTTCAGCAAGTCAAAATGGTCAAAATGGTAAAAATGGAACAGGAAAATGTGTGTGCAAATAATTTTCATATATTTATATACAAATGACTGTCAATAGTTTTGTACAATATTTTTAAAATTTTATTGTTTATAAAATAGTAGTGTTAAAACAAGTTTTTATTCATAATTCTTAATGTGTTTATTGCAATTTTTGTATAAGATAAATAAATTTTTAACGAGTAGTAGTTGTGAATAAATTTCATGTGCACTAAAAGCTGATATCAACAGCACTGAACAAAATTTTATTGGATTTGCCATAAAATGTTAAATTCGATAAACTGTTATAAAAAGGACTTTACTGACGAACAAACTGAATAAGAAAAGAACTCTACTGGCAAGCAAATTAAATAAGTACATGAAAGGTAAAAAAGGACTCTACTGACGAGCAAATTAATTAAGGACATGAAAAATTAGATTTTTTGGGAAGTTTTGACGTGTTCTAAAAATGTTTGTAGTTTTTTGGATTTTTTGCAAAAATATCTATTTTTTACAAATTTTGCTCTCTTTGGAAATTTTGAAATAATCTGAAATTTTTGAAATAATGATTATTTTGAAAATGTTTGATTTACAATTTTTTTAGAAAATTTTGAATTTATTTGAAAATCGTGAAAAAGTTTGAAAATTTGATTTTTTTCAAATTCTGATTTCTTATTTTCAAGAGAATACAAAAAAGGGACTCTACTGACAAGCAAATTAAATAACAGCATGTAAAATATAAAAAAGGACTGTCGAGCAAATTAAATAAGAACATGGTAAGTACGAAAAGGACTCTACTGACAAGCAAATTAAATAAGGGCATGGGAAATACAAAAAAGGACTCTACTGACAAGCAAATTAAATAAGGAAATGGAAAATATAAAAAGGACTCTACAGACGAGCAAATCAAAAAAGGACATGAAAAATACAAAAGAGGACTCTACTGACGAGCAAATTAAATAACGACACAAAAAATATAAAAAAGGACTCTACTGACGAGCAAATTAAATAAGTACAGAGCAAACTGAAACTAGACCTAAAAATGTAATTTATTTAGCTTAACCGAATGATAAGTGTAATAGATACTCTCAGTTACATATGTTTTATGCAAAAATTAAAAAATATGAAAATTAGTGATGAAAATGAATTTTAATAGTAATAAATTTATTTGTACTAAAATTTGCAGTCTGAATTTTTTTATCTTTTTTTTAATATTGATAATGATAATAAATTTTATGGAGAATCAATTTTCTAACAGTTTTCTTTAATTAAAAGATCTAAAAATTAAGAGTTTTTTTTACATATTAATTAATCAATAATTTATAAAAAATTTATAAACAAATTACCAAAAATATTTCCAACATTTGTTGAAATCTATGTCACATTCTTTTTTAATTTTTGCATATTTCACCCAATATATCTTAGTCATTCAAATTGTACTATTATTAATTTTAATTTAGTTTTATTAAAATCTTTTATTTTATTTAATTTTTTGTGAATCTAGTTCGTTTCCAATGTCATTAATCAAAATGACATTTACGTCAAAAAATTTATAAAAAAATGTTTTAGATAAAAATTTATACAAAAATTACAAAAAAATAGCAAAATTCAGAAAAACGAAGTCTTCATTGTATGAAGCAAAAAAGTTAGACACGAAGAGATTTTTGATATAATAAAAAGATATAAAGAAAATTGCAAAAAAAATACAAAAAAATAGTAAAATAAAATGAATTGCAATAATGGGAATAAAAAGGAATTTAAAAGGCTTTCTAGGGATGTCTTGCCAACACATTACACTTTGCATGTTATGCCTAATTTGCAAGAATTAACGTTTGTTGGAAGATGTTCCACAAATATCGAGGTAAAAAAAATATTTATTTTGTAAATGTCTTAGAACCTTAACATTTTGTTAATAAAATACTAATAATAATAAGGCTTACCTTTTAATAACATCCAAGTACTTCCTTGCATTTTTCAAAGTTTTTGGGTCCAAATGAACTTTCTAGTTCCTCCTCCAACTGTTTTAACTAAGTTCTCCTAAAACAAAAATAATATATTTAAAATTTATATTCAAAAATATGTTTTTTAGATTGCATTTTTATTAAATTGTTAGAACAACTAAACTAAAACTAAGTCCTTTTTTATATTTTTTATGTACTTATTCCGTTTGGTCGTCAGTCGAGTCTTTTTTTGTATTTATTGTGTTTCTATTTAATTTGCTCGTCAGTAGAGTCCTTTTCTAATATTTTTCATGTCGTTATTTAATTTGCTCATCAGTAGAGTCCTTTATCGTATATTCTTGAACATAAAAAGTCAGAATTTCAAAAAAATGAAATTTTCCAACTTTTTAACGATTTTAAAATAAATTCAAAACATTCTGAAAAAATGTAAATCAAACATTTCCAAAAATTACTTAGAAAAAAGCACTTAATTTCAAAAATTTCAGATTATTTCAAAATTTCCAAAAATAGCAAAATTTCTAAAAACATAGATAATTTTACAAAAAATCACAAACATTTTTAAACACGTCAAACTCCCCAAAAAATCTAATTTTTTTATGTCATTAAGTAATTTGCTCGTCAGTAGAGTCCTTTTTTGTATTTGTCACGTCCTCATTTAATTTGCTCGTCAGTAGAGTTTTTTTTTCCTTAATTAATTTGCTCGTCAGTAGAGTTCTTTTTCCTTAGTTAATTTGCTCGTCAGTAGAGTTCTCTCTTTCATTTTCTAGGATTCATATTATATTTTCAAATTGAGATTTAGTTTGCTCGTCAGTAGAGTCCTATTTTATTTTTATGTCCTTATTTTGTTTGCTCGTCAGTAGAGTCCTTTTTTGTATTTACCATGTCGTTATTTAATTTGCTCGTCAGTAGAGTCCTTTTTTTATATTTATGTCTTAATTTAGTTTGCTCGTCAGTAAAGTCTTTTTTATAACAGTTTATCGAATTTAACATTTTATTGCAAATCCATTAAAATTATGCATCAGGGCTGTTGATATCAGCTTTTAGGGCATATGAAATATATTCACGACTACAACTCGTGTTTATATGTAAAATACGCCTGATCACACAGCAATTAGATCTGCATTTTCACAGTTTTTCATGACAATACTATTTTTTGAGGCAGAATTGCCCTTTATCCATCTAATTATTTATTTTTTTTTAGATTTGTCGATGCACAAAATCAATAACCCTAAATACAAAAGGGTTGGAAATAACTTCAGCAAAGGTTACTGCAGATGATAAAGAGATCAATTTTTGTGGAACCGAATACGATGATTACAACGAAACTTCTACTATATGTTTCGAAGAAAAATTGCCTTGCAAAAGGGCGGTTTTGGTCACAGAATTTGGTGGTGTACTCAGTGATGATATGACTGGATTTTATAGGTAACTAGTGGTGTATGGCATCGTGCTTTAAGGCAAATTGCTGCAACTTCCCGTACCGTAATAAAATATTCGAGAAATTTTAAACGTTTTCAAATATATTATTACAAAAACTGTAACTTTCATTATTTTTGCTATCTTGTTATATCTGAGCAAGTCAAATGTAAATTATAAATAAATCAATTTATCTCCAGAACATTAACAATCGTCATTTCATTTTAAATTCAATTTCAAAAAAATAGTTGCCTAATTTATACAAAATTGAAAAAGTGCTTTTGCAAATAATTCTGTGCGACATTTTCACTTATACTGTGCTTAGCTTGGCGGCATTTTCACATTTTTTGATAGTTTTCACAAAATTGGAAGAGTGCTCCAGTACGTAAACAGTCTAAACGCACTTGGGTAAACATTTGTTCAACAAATCGAACGCTTAGTTCACTCAAAAACTGCCATTTTTTGCACATTTAGCTCTGTATCTTCGAAATGGCAGGACCTGTCTTTGCCAAAAACTAATCACCTCTTCTCCCAATTATTACAAATTGAATGTTTTTTAGATCATTCAAATCCGATACTCCGTTCTTTCAAAAACTCGATTTGTATTTTCTGCACTTTTTGCTCCGTGTCTCCGAAATGGCTGGAACTGCCTTTGCCAAAAACTAATCAACACATCTCCCTATCAATAGGAATCGAATGTTTTTTGAATCATTCAAATCAGTTGACCCATGCTCTCGAAAACGTGGACAAATAATTGTATCCGCACATACATACACTTCACATACATACAAATACTCACATACACTAATTTTTTCTAAGGTATGCTATAATGTTCAGAAACTCCTAAAACGTGAAGATATGCAAAAAATTTTATTTTCGATTTTTTGACATTTATATAACTTACACTATGGACAGTTAAAAATTCAAATTCAAAAGATTTTTACAAGGATGCTAGTTCAAAATTCACATATGTAAAACTCTACAACTTTGAATTCAATCATCTATAAAATATAATAAAAAATAGATTTTTATTTCTTTGTATCTATTACTAATATGATCAAAAAATTAGATCTACCTTTCTTTGTATCTATTACTAATATGATCAAAAAATTGGACAAAGAGAGGTACTCTTTGTAATTATTATCAATGATAAAATGCAAATTTTTTACCTAAATAACTTAATCTCAAATTTCATTGATTAAGTCGATCATGTATACACATAGAGAAGGTTATGTAACTTGTTTAAAGAAAAATGCCACTTACACCTATTTTTACATTTATATTTTAAGAGTGTTGGAACCAAATTCTGGTGAAGAAAAACGATATGGGGCATCGACCCAATTTGAGGCGACTTACGCCAGGCATTGTTTTCCCTGTTGGGACGACCCATCGTTCAAGGCGACTTTTGATGTCATCCTTACTGTACCTGATGGTAAGTAATTTAATAATTTTATTCATTTAATAATAACATATTGAACTAACAATCCTTAAGATAGAACTGGTCAGTAATATTATTTATTACTAGGGTTAACTGCACTATCAAACATGCCAGTAAAATCGCAAAGTGTCTGTCGTGGAAGAAGGACATTGACATATGAAACGACACCAATAATGTCGACTTATTTACTTGCTTTTGTCATCGGAGAATACGACTATGTTCAAGGGAAAAG